TCAGAGCTTCTGACCAACCTACCGTCCAGCCCCTCCTCCATTTGAAGTCAGGGGTTGACACTGGGATGCTCCCAGGTGCCACACTGCCTCAAACCTATCCTCTTTTCACCCTAAAACCCAACCACCCGTGCTGCTTAGTGACTTTCCCTTTATAAAGCACTTCCATAGACATTATTCCATCGGAACCCTCTGGAACTAGGTGTAGTTGGTCATCCCATTTTGAGAGAAGACCCGGAGACATAAACGCAAGCCAAGGTTTTACCAGAGGTAAGGAGAGAGGTGGGAACAGATCTTTCCCTAGCACCTTCACAGGGAGCATGGTCTCTGAGATCCCTTGGTCTCAGATGTCTAACCTCCAGGACTATAAGAGAATATGTTCCTGTTGTTTGCAGCATTTTGTGATACACCCTAGGACCCTGATACATCAAAAGCTCAGAAACTTTGTAGATCTTTGAATACCTCTACTTTATATGGAAAGGCAGGCTGGAGTCATACTCATTTTATAGATGGGGAAACTACGTCCCAGATAAATGAAATGATTTGTTTGAAATTACTTTCTTACAAAATTCTTTGAAAGAACAAAAAAGAGAAATGTTAACTCAGGCAACATACAAATTGTCTGCCAGCTGTTAAGTTCATATCCAACGCTCCTGACCACTTTAGGGTTAGTCCTTTGGGATCCCTGTTTTTAAGAGATGAACTGGCCACAGATGAGTAGCCCATCGTTGGGGTACTGGAGAGTGCACCAAGCCAAGACTGCTGAAGAATCCATGAAGAATCCATTTACATAAAACCTGCCAGAAGAGAAGGTGTGTATACCTAAAGTATTTATTTTTATGCCATGAAATGCCAAAGAATGCTTTAAATTTTTTTTAAGTAGTTGTCGCCCTGAAGAAAGAACTCTCTGGGCTCCTTAAATTCACATGTAAATACCTGGATCAGAATCACATTTTTAGAGCCCAGTCATGACGGGTTAAACTTTCAAGACTCTGAAAAAACAAGCTACAAAGTACAGGGGACAGAGCCGGGCTTTGGAGTCAAGAGATGCTCTCCCTAAGGGCATGGCCCTGGGCAAGATGCATTAATGCCTCTGGGTCTTCTTTCAAAATGGGATGACCAACCACAGGGTTCCGATGGAATAAAGTCTTTGGAAGTGCTTTATAAAGGGCAAAGTCACTAAGCAGTGCAAGTGGTTGGGTTTTAGAGTGAAAAGAGGATAGGTCAGAATTTGAGGCAGTGTGGCACCTGGGAGCACCCCAGGGTCAACCTCTGAGTTCAAATGGAGGAGGGGCTGGATTGTAGGTTGGTCAGAGGCTCTGAGATGGATTTCCAATTTGGAGAAGAGGAACTAACTCCAGTCCTAACTCCAGTCAGGAACATGGAGCTGTTCCTGAGTACTACGCCTCTTCCCCTCCCCTTCCTTTTATAGGGACACCGGTCATAATGAGTTAGGGGCCCACCCTACTTCAGTGTGAACTCATCTTAACTAATTATATCTGCAGTGACCCTGTTTCCAAATAAGGTCACATTCTGATATACTGGGAGTTAGGACTTTTTTATTTATTTTTATTTTTTTGAAATTGAGTCTCTCTTCATTGCCCAGGGTGGAGTGCAGTGGTGTGATCTCAGCTCACTGCAACCTCCACCTCCAGGACTCAAGTGATTCTTATGCCTCAGCCTCCCAAGTAGCTGGGGCTACAGGCGCGTGCCATCACACCTAGCTAATTTTTGTATTTTTAGTAGAGATGGGGTTTCGCCATGTTGGCAAAGCTGGTATCAAACTCCTAACCTAAGGTTATCTACAAGCCTCGACCTCCCAAAGTGCTGGGATTACAGGTATGAGCCACCGTCCCTGACCAGGACTCTAATATATGAATTTTAAAGGGGATAGAATTCAACAGTTCTGTATTGCATATACCAGATCCTCAGGGGTTCACACCCTCAGGGGATCACACCACAGGGGTTTGCACCTCAGGAGATTACACTTCAGGGGATCACACTGCCAGGGTTCACACCACAGGGGATCACAGCACAGGGGTTCACACCTTGGGGGTGCCACACCTCAGAGGGTCATCCACTCACCCTGAAGACGAGCACAGCTATGGGAGATTTGCTCCAGAATCCAGGCAGGTCAGAGGTCACAGAAATTCAAGGGACCATCTGATGCAAAACTATGGCAACTTCTTCTCTCCTAGCCAAACACACACAGGCACACACACCACAAACACATATAAGCACCACATACACACTCATCAAACACACATATCACACACACCACACACAAACCTCACACACTGCACACATACACACGACACAAACCATACACACAAATACACACATACCACATACACCACAGAGAAATGTAAATGCCCACATACCACACACACCACACACACCACATACACCACATACCACACACACCACATACACACACCACACACAGTACACATACACACACACCACATACCACACATACACACACACACAAACACACATACACTATATACCACACTATATACACACACCACACAAACACACCTCACACGCCATACAAACACACCAAATACACACACCACACACACAGTACACATACACACCTCATTAACCCCTGTGAGGCCAGGCCCTACCCTGACCCTTCTTCCCTTGTGACAGCCTCTGCACCCTGGGCATCTTTCTCCCAGAACCCTGAAAGCTTCTTGTGGGTCCAGTGAGGAGGGAGGCATGCCTGACCACACTCCTGGAACTTACTGTGGCCCTGTTACAAATTGTTTCATAAAATCTTAGTGAACGGGCACAGGAATCAATGCTTCCTAATGTACCTCATACACAAGTTGCATCACTAAAATCATCCTTTCATAAAGGGTCATAACTCTTTTCAGTAGCCAATATAATGTTTCAAGGAACATCTGTAAAAACAAAATGGCATTGATACTTCAAATTTAGCGTATAAAGAAATTTCCAAATTCCAATTATTCCATCTAAATTACTTATTTTATAGGTCAAATATGAATATTCTTGTAGTTTTTTAATCCTTCAAAGTAAAATTTTGGTGTTTAGAGAATACAAACTGAAAATTTTGCTTCAAAACATTCTTTCTAATGTACCACAAATTTATTTTTAAAAGCTATTACCAAAGAAGATGTATTTTTAAGTAATTTAAATATACAACTTGCAACAAATACATATATTATAAATCCACTCTTCTAAAAATGAGGAGCAGCAATGTTCACTTTCACATAAAATGTTAAAATATCTAACAACACATGAAATCTCTATACAGTCACCTCCATCTCTGATCAGATAATTAAAATAGTATTATTCTTGTTTACAAAATAAGTCTTATCTCATTAAGTGTGGCCTGATTATTTATATAAGTACAGCAAGAATAGTAATTGACTACATAGATCTGTTAAAGTTTGTTTTGTAGCAATTGTTATAAGGAATCTCACCTTAATTTTTTTTCTTTTCTTTTTTTTTTTTTTTTTTTTTTTTGAGATGGAGTCTCACCCTGTCACTTAGGCTGGAGTGCAATGGTGTGATCTTGGCTCACTGCAATCTCTGCCTCTCAGGTTCAAGCAATTCTCCTACCTCCACCTCCCAAGTAGCTGGGATTACAGGCATGTGGCACCATGCCCGGCTAATTCTTTGTATCTTTAGTAAAGACAGGGTTTCACCATGTTGGCCAGGCTGGTCTTGAATTCCTGACCTCATGATCTGCCCTCCTCGGCCTCCCAAAGTGCTGGGATTACAGGTGTGAGCCACCACACCTGGCCTCACATTAGATTTTAAAAGCCTCTTGGGGCCATGAAGCCAAACTAAGAACACAACATCAAACTGCACCTGCTGTACCTATAGATTTGGGTAAATTTCTCACTTTTTTTTTTTTTTGAGATGGAGTCTTGCTCTGTCATCCAGGCTGGAGTACGATGGCTCGATCTTGGCTCACTGTAACCTGTGCCTCCCAGGCTCAAGCAATTCTCCTGCTTCCCAAGTAGCTGGGACCACAGGTACATGCCACCTCACCTGGCTAATTTTTGTATTTTTAGTAAAGACAGGGTTTCACCATGTTGGCTAGGCTGGTCTTGATCTCCTGATCTCAGATGATTCAACTGCCTTGGCCTCCCAAAGCGCTGGGATTACAGGTGTGAGCCACGGCTCCTGGCCCCTCAGTTCTCAAGATGCTCAAAATATTATAAGCTTCTTTATTTTTATTTTTCCTTTTACTTTTCTTTCTTTCTTTTTTTTTTTTTTAGACAGAGTTTTGCTCTTGTTGCCCAGGCTGAAGTACAATGATGCAATCTCATTTCATTGCAACCTCTGCCTTCCGCGTTCAAGCGATTCTCCTGCCTCGGCCTCCTGAGTAGCTGGGATTATAGGCTCCAGCCACATGCCCAGCTAATTTTTATATTTTTAGTAGAGAGGGATTTTCACCACGTTGGCCAGGCTGGTTTTGAACTCCTGACCTCAAGCCATCCACCCTCCTTGGCCTCTCAAAGTGCTGGGATTATAGGTGTGAACCACTGCCCCTGGCCTATTTTGATTTTTTCATTTCTAGAGGTATATGCTTTTTATAGTAAAAAGAAAAAATTTCCAAGGTGGTAAAATATTAAAGACATGTTTATAAAGAAACCCAGGCCAGGCATGGTGGCTCACACCTGTAATCCCAGCATTTTGGGAAGCTGAGATGGATGGATGACCTGAGGTCAGAAGTTCAATGCCAGCCTGGCCAACATGATGAAGATGAAACCCCATCTCTACTAAAAATACAAAAATTGGCCAGGCATGGTGGCACCTGCCTATACGCCCAGCTACTTGGGAGGCCGAGGCAGGAGAATTACTTGAACCCTGGAGGCTGATGCGGCAGTGAGTCAAGATCAGGACACTGCATTCCAGCCTGGGCGACAGAGCAAAACTGTGCTGGGATTACAGGCGTGAGCCGCCGTGCCTGGCCTGACTAATGTGCTCTTTACTTCTGCTGATTGACCTCTGTGTCCTTTCGCTGTCATGAACTATAACCATGTGTAGAATAGCTTTTCTGAATTCTGCAAGTTTTTCTGAAGTGTCCCTGAACTTGAGGGTAGTCTTGGGGACCCCCACCACCGATCCCTCTGCCCGCTGTACAGTACACTCCAATTATCTTAAAGAGAGAAATTAAGCCCAGACACTGTCTATCACCAGGGAGTGGGTGGTTTAGTGAGAGAGCCCAGAAGCCGCTCCTCCCGCCCACTGTCGTCCAGACCGCTCGGCGGCTGTAGCCACCTCGCCGGGCCGCCCGGGCCACCGCGGGAACCGAGCCCAAGGAGTTAGCCGGTCCCCACCCAAAAAGAAAAACAAGTCCCCAGGGAGAAGAAGCAAGTCTGCTCAGAGTAAGAGGAACCGAAGTCCTCACCACTCAACAGTCAGAGTGAAGCAGGAGTGTAAGGATCATCCCCAGGGAGGACGGGAGGATTGGCAGCACAGGGAACCGTGGGAACGGGAACACAGGAGAGCTAGGAACAGTGACCGGGACAGACACCGGGGCCATTCCCACCGAAGGAGAATGTCTAACGGGAGGCCTGGGAGTGGGCAGGGTAAGGGACAGGTTCGAGACACTCAGAACCTGCAGGCTCAGGAAGACAAGCGGGAGTTTTGTAACGCCAGGCGGGGAGCATCGCCAGAGGAGTGACGCTGGTGGCGTTGGCAGTGAGTCTCAGGAGTTGTTTCCTCCGCCTGGTGGCAACAACAAAGAAAAAGAGGTGCCTGTTAAAGAAAAACCAAGCTTTGAACTTTCTGGGGCGCTTCTTGAGGACACCAACACTTTCTGGGGTGTAGTCATTAAATATAGTGAGCCCCCAAAAGCACGTGTCCCCAGAAAATGGTGGCGTCTCTACCCGTTTAAAAATGATGAAGTGCTGCCAGTCATGTACATACATCGACAGAGTGCATACCTACTGGGTGGACACTGCCGCATTGCAGACATTCCGATCGATCGCCCATCTTGTTCAAAGCAGCATGTGGTCTTTCAATATCGGCTGGTGGAATATACCCCTGCTGATGGCATGGTGGGCCGAAGAGTGAAGCACTACATCAGTGACCTTGGCTCAGGCAATGGAACCTTCTTAAACAACAAACGTATTGAGCCACAGAGATACTATGAACTAAAAGAGAAGGATGTACTCAAATTTGGGTTCAGTAGCAGAGAATATGTCTTGCTCCATGAGATGTCAGATACTTCTGAAATAGACAGGAAAGACAACGAGGATGAGGAGGAGGAGGAAGAAGTGTCTGACAGCTAGCAAACTAAGAACACAAACTGAGACAGGCTTTCCTTCTTGGAAGGCTTTGACTGACTCAGAGAGCCACAGTGCTCCTGTAATGCCTCTTACTGCCTTAACTCTTTTCCTCTGCTGCTGACCCGATTGTGTTGCCATTTAAATACACTGGCTAATGTTTTGTTAATTTTTTTTCTGTGGCACGTTGGCCACAGCCTGCTGGCATTTGTTTTCAAGACAGTCTCACCGATTACAGCACATCGTGTTTTAGTAGAAGCCTTGTGGTTTTAGCTGGTGTTTTCAGAACTGCTGCCTAGGAAACTATGAACCCTTGGTTAAGGGGAAATCCTGGCTTGTTCTCTTTGTACAGTTACTTTATTTATATAGATGTTAAGCTTTGTGGGCCAGGTGTTTTTCTTTTGTGGCAAACCCCTGAGCAGAGAATCTTACTAAGCTTTGGTTATCACCAAACAACTCCAGTATATACCAAAGCTTTGACCTGGTTGAGCTCTTGAGTGTAGAAGTTGATTTTGCACTTAGTGTTTTGGGGGTGGGGGTGCGACTGTACACAGTCAGTAAGCATTATTGACTGTTTAACTTAAACAGATGCTTTATGGCCCCTGCTTAAGCCCATGACTGTGCAGAAAGATCGTGGTTGCTACCAATGGGTGCTGATTCAGCATCACAAGTGACTGAAATTGGCCGTGGATCTGTTCTTTGAGAGAATTCCTGATTTCTCCATGGAACATGTACATAACAATTGTGATCATATTAACTGTACTTCAGTTTTGTGTTTTTATTCAAATGTTATCTCCTTTTTTTCTCTCTGAGAAATATACTGTCACTGATGTGACAGGGTCTATACTTTAATAACGTGTATATGTCTAACGCAGGTTGTGCTATTTACATGTTTCTACACATTTCGTCCTTTAAAAGATTGTTCAGAGAGGTTGTATTTACCTTCCCAAGGCTGGAAAGCAGGGGAATTACCTAGTTTCCTAGTTTTCCACCAGAGGAATATGTGTAAGTAGAAAAGTGTTAGCTGCTTACATATAATGTGTATGTATGGATGGATACATGTAAATTGTGTGTTAAAGAGCTGATACTGATTTTCATATGACAATGTTAGGCAAAGGCCTCCCTGCACTTGAAGAGCAGGTTTTCATTTGTATGTATTTTTGGGATAAAAAGTAATAAAATTTGTAAATATATTTTAAAAACCACACACACTATGAAATGTACCTCAAGGCCTCTACTGAGGCAGACAGCCATTGACTGTGACAAGGCTATGCAGCTGAGGTACATGAATTTCATGTGTATGCAACATGAGAGATATTTCCAGGAAGTTAAGCTTCACACTAGGAAATGTCTGTGTAGGTATATTCATTTGTTTAAATTCTTAAGAAGTGATCAGAGACTATGATAGGGAGGGGAAACTGTTCTTCCAAAGAGAAGTTCGCTCTCATTTTCTAATGAATTCTTCCTCCTTCCTCCGCTTCCCTGCAGTGGAAATGTGGAGGGAGACCAAAGCTGCGATTCCAGTCCACACCAGAGCCCAGAAAGATTCCCAGGGCCCTGGAGATGCCTCCTGAGCACCAGGAGCCTGTGGAATGCAGGAAGGATGGTCCTACAGGGACCACAAGGAACAGCAATTGTCTGTAGTAAAATACGAATGACAAAGGCAGGAAGGCAAAAGAAGGCTCCCAGGTCGGCACAGGTGAGATGAGAGGCCCAGTTCTTCGGAAGTATGTGTGGTGTCCCACCAGAGCCCCCAGGGGTCTGTTGTGGGCGCCACTGTGTCTGAAGTGTGTGTGTGGTGGGGGGTGTCAAGGAAGGGCCTTGAGGCTCATTTCCCTGGCAGCAGCAGGAGCACGTGGCTGGCTCGTTGCAGCAGGCAGGTGGATGGGCAATTGGATGAACAACAGTTGAGAGCTGAGCCCATATAGTGGAGGAGGAAAGAGAGGCGCATGGATGGAGATGTGGACACAGTCCACCAGAGCCTGGGAACCCCCATACCTGTGCACTCCTCTTGTTTATCCGGAAAGGAGAGCATCAGGTTTGAGGAGGAATGGAACCTAAAACAAATATCTTCCCTAAATGTGGAATTATGAGACCCGTTGCCCCTGCTCTCCAGTCCCTGCTCCTCACACAGAGTGTACCTACTGAGCTGGCGGTGGCCTGATGGCAGGTGATTCCTTGTGTGTCCATGCCCAATCATGTAGTCAAGGTGAGATCCACTTCTCAGGCTTAGGGCACCTGCAAATGAAGTAGAACTTAGGACCCCCATGCTTCTCAATGATCCTAGCAGGCATCCCTGGGGTCTCCACTCTTGCCAGTTAACCCAGTTGACCACATTAGGGAGTGTCAGGGACTGTCACGCCTCCCCAGTGACAATATCATAAAGGAAGAGACTGTAGACAGAAGATATGCTCTTGAAGTGCACACTCATGAGAACAGACCCAAATAAACTCAGATGGTGTCACTCCCATTGAGGCTATATAGAACGCATGACAAAGATACACATTATTTTCAAGGCCACTTTTCAAGTATTACATAAATTTATCACATAGCGATTAAACAGTGCAATCTCTAATCCTGAGTGTCTGCTGCCAAAAGATGTCTAATAGTATAATGAGAACACTTCCTCCAGGGCTCAAAGCATCCTTGCTATCAGGTACAGGCCAGACATCAGGCCCCAGGGGTCTGGAGCGGGCAGGAGGTGAATGACAGGACATGGTGTGAAGCAATCAATTTATATGGAGCACATGAGTGAGATCAGAAGAGGCTGCTGAACGCTGGACTTGAGCCAAGCATGAGGTGCCCAGATCCGCTCTTGACTCACAGAAGCTAGACCTCAGATCATCCCAAGCCACTCCTGGCTTATGGTGGGAGCGCACATGTTCCAAAACCCAGGACAGTGAGGACTGTATTTGGGGCAGAGTAAGAAGAAATGGATCAGAGCAACATACAAAAGATCTAAGGACAATAAGTAAAGGCTTAATTCTTGTTTTAAACATAATTTGTCAAAGTGTTTGTATTTTTGTGATTTTTTTACAGCAAGCTCCATAATTGGGTAACTCAAAATTATGTTCCTAACTAAAAAAATGTCATTTGGAGGTTTGTTTGTATTTTCATTATACTTTTTAGTTCTGTGAATTTCAAAGCTCTATTCTAGGTTGATGAAAGTAGAAAATGTAGGGTGTGGGGAAATTATGAGAACAGAGGAGATTCTGAAATAATCTTTAAGAAACTATCTGAATTCCTAGGAGAATTTCAGACTTTCAAAGGCTATGAAATGGGTGGGCTCAGGCCTAGATCTCTAAGGGGACAAGGAGAACAAGGTGACACCGGTGTCCCAGGGGACAGAATAGAAAACAGACCCAGACCTGTCTCTGACAGGGTGAGTTGCTGAAGTAGGATCTGGGAGACCCAGGGGGGTGGAGGGTCCCAGGGCTGGGATCTAAGGGAGGGGCTGTGCTTCAGCCTCCTCCTCCCAATGCCCCTCCCCTGCACCCAGGAGCCCTTTGTGAGGAGGAGGCCCCAGCTATGTGATGCAGGCCTGGGCCCCAGTCCCTAGTCCCAAAGGGGATGCCCAAGGCTCAGTTGCTTGAAGACGAGACATTGCACTTCAGATGGGAAAAATGCTCTTTGGTCTGAAGAGCCCTACTGCCACGTGGCTGAGCCACAGCTCCACTCCCTGGGTGATGGATCTTACCCTCACTGGGGTGTGTGTCCTGGGGCTCCTCTTCCTATTACTCCCCCACCTCCCCAGTGACCCACCCTCACCCCTGCCCCACAGAGAAAGACTCTCTCTTGTTTTCCTCCCCTCGTTTCCACTTTTCCTAAGCAAGGAAAGACGCTCCTGTGATGGGAAATCTCATGGTCCCTCAGGGCAGGGCAGGGCAGGCGGGGTGAGAGTGCGCAGAGGATTCCATGCCCAGCTCCCAGGCCATCTGTGGGGTGGGCAGGAGGCTTCAGGGCACAAACCAACACCAGGCTTAGTGTCGAGGACAGGCTCAGGAGAGGGGCGAGGGTTCTGTGGGAGATAGGCCCCAGCCCTGGCTCATCAGCCCTTTCCGGGGCAGGTGCTGGGGCCCAGTTTCCTCTGTGTGGGGTGACCTGGAGCTGTGTGGAGACCCTGCCTGCCAGGAAGGGAAGTGGTAAGGGGCAGCAGCCAGTCAAGCTGGGGCACGCATCCTCTCCTGAAATCTGCCTGGAGAGGCCAGGACCACAACGGAGAAGGTGGGCCTGGCTCCAGGCGGCAGAGGGGCGCTGAGGCCCTAGGGGAGCCTGGCTGGATCTGGCTAGTCCTGAGCTCTGCTTCCAGCAGGGTCTGGCCCTGTAACCCCGGGGACAAGGCCAGCCAAGACATGGCCACTGGGTGCCAGCCAGCGCCTGGGCCAGGCACCAGGTGGGAAGGGCTCTGGCAGATCAGCCCCGCATGCCCCACAGCCCCACAGCGGGGCCCATCCAGGGCCACACACCTGCCCTGAGGAGCAGGATGTCCCTGGGGCTAGAGAGTCCAGCTAGACGGGTGGGGAGCCTCACCCTGTGCCCTTTGACTCCACTTGTAGGTGCTCTTGCTGGGCTCCTGTGCACTGCCCCACACCCTGCTCTGTCACCAGCCCCATCGAGAAGTCATAAGAGCCTAGCTGCCGAGTGCCCCACCTGGCTACAGACTAGTGGGTGACTCAGGAGTACCCTCTCCATTTCTGACTGTGATTTTTGTCCGTGCACAGCTGGTGCAGTATGGGAAATCTATTCAGTAGATTTCGTAGCTAGCTCCACTGCAGGCCTCGGCAGTGGTGGCAACTGCAAAGGTCTCCTCTTGTCCATGAGGACTTTTCGGCTCACAGGGTTCACCCCGCAGCTCCTGCATGTGTACCTGCCCCGGGAGCCCTACACTCTTCTCGATTCTTCAACTATCAGCGAGGTCTTAGGCCTTGTTTTCCAGTCAACTCTAATATCCCGAACTCGAGCGCCCAACTACGGGACCTGCCTCCTCTGGTCTGGAGGCCCCCCTCAAGGGAGAAACCCGTGCTATCTCCACACCACTTCGCATGCGTCAGGACCGTGAGGATCCCTCGTCTAAGATTTAAGTTTCCCCTGAAACTGCCTTCGCTACAAGTGCTGGCCCCGATCCTGAAGACGGAGGTGAGGGCAGAAGAAGAGCCAGAAGAACCAATGGAGGTGGATGATCAGGTAGAGACCCAGGGGCAGTAGGAGGAGAAAGGGGGCCCCTCCAGCAATGGGGGAGCAACATCCACCTCGAGGCCCCTGGAGACTCAGGGAAACCTCACTTCCCTCGACTGCAGTCCCAGGGCCTTAAAGGAAAATTTCCATAGCAGGAGCCTGACAGAAACAAACAGGACTGACAAGGCCCAGATGCCTGCAATGAGTCTCCACACCAAGGGCCATGGAGTGCCCAGCACACACAGCCCTGCGGGAGGCGTCCTTGGCTTTGGGAAGCCTGACCCAGCTCCAGCAGTGCTCCCTGGCCCAGCTCCCGGCTGCTCCCATTGGCCAGACAAGGCGGCCTCTCAGGTGCTGGGGAAAGGCAACCTGCCCAGCTCCTCAGGCTTGCAGATGAGGGGGAAGGAGACCCAGCACAAGGATCCTGAAGCTCTAGGAACAAGCAGCTCTTCACCACCCAGAGCTGCCAGCGACAGTTCCCAACAACCAAAATGGTCAGGGCAACCCCAGCAGCTGCCACTGGTCCCTCCTGAGCAATGGAGGTGGGAGAGAGACGTGGGGCCCTCACCCGCTAAACGTCCCCGCCTATCCCTGGAAGGATTCAGGGACAACATGGGGGCATCAGGGAGATTACAATCAAGGAGACTGAAAAAGCGACATAGGAGGATAAAGAGGCGGTAAACTACAGGCAGAGTTTTGTGAAGTCAGCTGTGGGGGAGGTGGAGGGCCGTGGGCCCCAAGTGCCAGCCCTTCCGGCCTCTGGACCCCCTGCCCCTGGCTGCAGCCTGTGCCTGCTGTCTCCTGCAGCCACCTGAGGAAGCTCTCGGGTGAGGGCGGCTCCCATCCGCCCTTAGGTGAAGACCCCCCGGGTGACGTGTGCAAACCAGTACCTGCTCAGGCCTCCCAGCTGCATGGGAAATGTATTCAAGACCCACCTCCCACCAGCTGCTCCCCACCAGCTTCCCCAGCTCCTCTGGCCTCCACGCTGTCACCAGGCCCGACGACCTCCTCAGAGCCTTTTGGATCACACTCAACCCTGAGTGCTGCCAGGCCACAAGAGCACTTGCCTCCCCTAAAACGCCCTGCAGCCCGGCCATATGCACTTGTTCCTCCTTCACCACAGCCCCATGGGCCCACGGCCTCCTCTCCACCCCCATTTGCCTCCAGCCTGGCTGGACTTCCGTGTGGCTCCACAACACACCCCGGTCCCCACAGCTCCCCTCCATACCAGAAGCGGCCGCCGGCTCCAACCACGGTGATCTCTGGACTTGGGGGCTCCGGCAAGCCCACCGGGACCTCTCCTGGTGGAAGGAGGCTGCCACCACGTGGGGTCTCTCTACCTGCTCACACGGCAAATTCCAGCAACAGTATCTTCCCGACCACCCGCCAGAGGCTTCTTTCTGGGGAGACCCCACACCCAGGCAGACGGAGGCATGTGAGTGCACATTCATCTACCCTGACATGCAGAAGCTGCTGGAGACTCTCATCATCAAGAAGGCAGTGATGAAGCTGAGGCAGGAGAAAGAAGGGAAGGGGGCCGACTGCCCGCAGATGACACCACTGCGGAAGGAGTGGGACGCCACGACTCCTGATCCCTTCTGGAACAAGACAGCCCAACCACAGCAGCCGCCCAGTCCGCAGCAGGTCTCTGATGCCACGGCCATGGGGGACCACTTTCAGCAGAAATGCAGCCAGTTCTTCTGGGACCTCCCCCCTTTCAACAGCAAGTCCCTGGTAGCTGCGGCCTTGGTTTCGAAGGAGGCTTCCTCAGGAAACAGGCACAGGGTATCATTCCATGAAGCTGCCACTTCTCTTCCACGTGAACCTGAGGTTGAGACATCCTCACAGCTTCCCCAGGCACCACCCCAGCCCCACCACGTGGCCCAGCCTCAACCTTTCACTCCAGCCAGGTGCCGGCCCCAGCCCCCGCCTCTGGCTGGGATCCAGACCCAGGCCCACTTCTCACCCCTTGTCCCAAGCCTACTGTGCTCTTCTCCACCCCAGATTAGAGGCTGTGGGGCATCTTGCCTTACATCCCAGCAGAGGGCACATTCCGCCACCCCCACTGGAAAGGAGTATCTTGAATGGCCCTTGCAGAAGCGACCAAAGCGGAAGAGGGTTTTGCCCTCTCCTCCAAAAGTCTCAGGCTGTCCTGAGTGAACCCACTGCCCACCTTCCCCAGGAGAGGCCGGCCCCCCACAGCCCCAAGTCAGCCCCCATGCTGTCCAGGGCTGCCACCAGGCCTGAGCTCCTAGAACACCAGTGGCGAGGAAGGAGTGCCATCCACCAGGAGCAGCCCCGTGGCTCGCCTGGCAGATTCTGGCCACCTGGAGACCTGCTGCCGCCCCAGGGGCAATTCCTAGGGAGTCCGCAGCATCAGGCAGAAGACACACAGGGGGCCCGCCTGCCCTCCCAGCCTTCTGAATTTTCGGGGAAGCACAGCGAGGATGGGCAGAAGACAGGATTCAGGAGCTCTGGAGGGTTATCTGGGAAGGGGTGCTTAAGGTCCAAACGAGAGCCAGACCCAAACTGGGATCGAGGGCAAAAGCTGGAGAAGATCCCAGCAGATCCACCCAGAGGCTCAGGAAGGACCTCAGTGAAGCTTCTGGAGGAAGACAAGCAGGAAGCAGAAGGTGACTTCCGGAGGCCCTGGAAGAACCAATCAGTAAGTTCCACACCCGGGGACCCAGACAAGAAGCATCCGGAAAATAAGCTGCAAGTCCATCTGGGCAGGAAGGTGGGGGAGATCAAGGAGGACTGGATCCCCATGCCTGTGCGTCGCTGCCGGCTCATGGCCAAACGTGCTGTTCCCAAGTCTGACACCTGCCAGGTCCCTGGGAAGCTGGCACCCAGGAGAGGTGGGAAAGCCCACATGAACACCTCCCAGGAGTTTTCCTTCCTCCATCCCTGCACCCAGCAGATGCTGGAAGCACATCTTTTAAGGTTTCGTGTAGGGCACAGGTGGGGTCCAGACCTCTGGTCCCTGAAGCCCATAAACGTCCGGTCACGTGAGCCTCAGCCCCCGCCCCTCCCACACTCCACCTGTCCCTGCTTGGCCTCCTGTGAGTCTCGGGTTTAATCTGTAGCCAAGGTTGCCATTTTCCCGGGAAAACCTCCCCAGAATCGTCCAGGAGACAGCTGGACAATAAGCAAGTCAGTCCCCACCATGAGTGGCCCTCTCCCTCCCGTACCACCTGAGCAGGAGGAAGTCCAGAGGGCCCCCGAGAGGGTCCCAGTCAGCTGATACCCATGGACGATCAGAGGTGTCTCCGACTGGACAGGAGGACGGGGGGTCTCAGCCCTTCATGTTCAGCCCTGGGGGCAGAACCTGGCACAGGGAGATGGTCCCAGGATCTGGGGAAACCATCCTAGAGGCGCGAGTCCAGCAATCACTGAGAATGAGCCACAGCCTGAGAGCGAGAGCACATCCCTGGGAGACCCCTGTAGTAGCAGAGCCCTGCAGGATCTCAAGGTAGGGTCCCTGTGGGCAAGTGCTGAGGATGCCCTGAGGCCCCTGGAGGTGGGGGAAGAGAAGCCTCCCGCTTGGGAAGTCACCTTGGAAGTCAGCGTAAAGGCAAATACGGGAAGCATTCAGGTGGATCTGAGGAGATCAGGGGCTCTGGGGACCACTAATAACCCCTCAGTGTCCACAGTCTGTGTTCCTGAGAATCCAGGGCAGCTGTGCCTGAAAGCACAGGTGGTCAGTGAGATCGAGCTCATAGTGCAGGTGGATCCAGAGGAGCAGCTGCCAGGCCATGCCTCTGGCATCCTCCTCCAGGACAGCGCCGCAGGCCTGTGCCTTCCGGCCGCCACGTGGACATGCTCCCCACCACAGACATGCTACTTGCTCAGGCCCCTCTGTCCACCTCTCAGAGTGTGTCTAGTAAGAACACCACAGCTTCCCAGGGGCCACGTGACCTCCTATGGATGGGAGGGAAAGGCCCAGGGCAGCAGGAGCCTGGGAGCCCAAAAGTGAAGGCCCCACAGAAGAGTCAGAAGGTGGTGGGCTCTGCAGACAATGGCAAGGCCCACAGGAGGCCCAGACCAGAGGAGCCAGGACACGGGACCAAGAGACCCAGGACCTCAGAAGCCAGTGGGAGGAGCCACCCTTACCCATGCCAGGGAAATAGGAGACAAACAGGAAAGGAAATACGTTCACCCTCAGCCGGAGAAGGGACAGGCACCACCAGAAAGCAACTTCCGGAGACAGATCAGCCACCCTCTGCAGGGTGTACCCCCCAGGAAAAAAGGCGCAGGGCAGGAAGACGTCCTGCAGAAAGGCAGTCCTGGGGCAGCTGGTGTCGAGAGTCGCGGGTCTGGCCCAGCAAGGTTGTTCATGGACAGCATGGCTGATGAGGCCCGGGCCATCATCAGAGTTGTGGGACAAATCCTGGCAGACAAACTGGGGCTTCGGCAGGGACGTGGTCCCTCAGAGGTCAATCGCCACAAAGGTGACCTCCATTCTAAGGATAATGTGCATTCCTGCTGCCACAGGGGTTACTGCCACCAAGAACACAGCAGAGAGTGCGCGTTCTGACCTGCTGCCCCAAAGCCACCCCCAAGGGCCATGACTGTCATGTCAAAAATAGGGGCAGCAGAGACAGCAATTGGACCCCACGTCCCAAGGAGCCTGTGTCCCCAGCTGGTCACCACCACCACAGGCCACGGGTGGCAAGCACCTTGGGCGGCCCCATCCACAGCCGCAGGAACTGAGGTCCTCCTGAACCAGACCAGGCTTCTCACACCTCTCTTGGGGGAGACAGCGGGTTCTACTCAAATAAAACTGGACACCTACAGAACAAACCTGTCCTGCGTGGGTGATTACATCCCCCATGTGTTCATGACTTCCACAGAGAGGTTCCCAATACACC